TTTATCTTGGGATTTCAGTTCTAATAGATACCATTTTTCTTCTCTTTGGTCTCCCCCGAGAAGGTCTGGCCACAGAAGAAGAGCTTTCAGCTCCTGCTGCTTGAGTGAAGTGAAGAACCTGCAAGCAGAGTTTCCAAAGGTAAGAAATAAGCATGAAGGAACTGGTGTGACTTAAAGCCAAATGGGGTCAAATGGTTGTCTTGTTTTGCTCCTTATCATAACTCACTGTGCTATCTGCTGCTTAAGTGACTAATCAAAGGGGTGCTGAAGGTCTAGTATACGTAAATTCCATAGAGTAACGAGTAGCACTGTCCCCCCTCCCAGAGCATTAACACAGTGCTCCTGTCTGCACGCTGCAAGGCTGAACTCCCTTCCACAGCTGTTGCTTTCAGCAATAGCAATGTGTTTGTGCAAACCCAAATGGTTCTCCCCACGATAATGGTACAAAGGCATCTGAACAGGAGTGTGGTGACACAGAGGAGAGTGCTGGGCAGTGCTGAGCACCACAGCTCCCTTTGAGCCAGCAGTGAGCCCATGTGTCATTAGGAAGGATTGGATTGGAGGATGTGGAGATACCAAAGTCCTTCCTATTTCCATGCTGCATTGTCAGGCAGTTGTTTAGGAAAGCACAAATCAAGATAGAAAGATGCATTCTGGTCAGGGGAGAGAGGGAGAGTGCTGGGATCTGCAAGCCTCCTGCCAATTTGTTAGGAGCTACTGGCATCAGCTCTTTGCTTCTCAAAGGGAATATCCCATCTGTGACAGAATCATAGAATCACAGGATAAATTAGAAGGTGTAGAATAACATAGAAGTCGTCAGGTTCAGAGAACCTCTGTGCTCAGTGTGTCATACCCACAGGACACTTTCTCTTAGTGGAGAAGTGGGGGACCTGCTATGAAATGACTAAAATTTACCATTCACTTGTTATATTCTCTGGTCTGCCTTGGTTCCTTGTCATTTGGGTGGCGAATTTTTCTATCTATCTAACACAAAATTTTGCAGCCGGGTATTGTATGGGGTATATGCTTCACAGAGCAACCCACCTCTGCCATCTCTGTTGCTGTATTGCCTTTTGCACCCAGGTATGTCAGAGCCAGTGCGGATGATATGCTCCAAGGGGAAAAGAAAATGTTTTTGCCCTTGTTGGTCTCATTCAGCTTGTTGAAAAGATCAACTGTAAACTTGCCAACTGATGTTGAGACCAGTTCCATTGCTACCACCTGGAAAGAGCTGACAGACAGAACTGTATTATTTGAACGTTTAAAATTATGTACACAGTGCATATTAGTGAGAAATGTTACATGTGCAACACAATGCATTGGCACCCACTAAAACTAATAGCCTAGTTGTATGTTTTATCTTCTGCACAGATACTGTATGCCACCTGTTAGGAGCAGCAATTTCTTTTAGGTTTTTTGTTATTCAGATAATATATTCCTTTAATTGTACATATGTCCTCTTTTATACAGCTGCTGTTTTCCTTGTGTTTCTTTGGTTTTGCCTTTGGTTTTCAAAAATGTGCAGATTTGTAAGCTGCATTATTTTTTTTCCTTTTCATCCTTAACTACTGGTTTGTCAAAGTACTGTTCCCAGGGGAATTTAAATGCAGTTTTAGTACATAGGTTCACAGCATGCTTGAGTTTCCTACTACTTCATTTTGGATCTATATAGAATTGAGAGCTGATACTGAGAAATAATATTGTTGTTGTGATGATGATGATGATTTATATCTATGGAATGGAGCTACAAAAATTGTGGGTCAATCTCTACAGGTATTTATAAAGTGTTTGGTTGCCAAACCACTACAGTTGTTCTGGCGGTCAGTGTGCTGTAAGTACCAAACCTGTACCACAGAGTGATTTTTTTCCTTGGAGAACACAACCAAGAGAGCATCAGGGTGGAAATTTCTCTGTTTTCTGCTAATGAATATTCTTCTGAGTCTCTGGCCTGATAATGTGTAGTGCTGTGCCTTTGCAGAATGAAAATGTCCTTTTCTTCACCTGAAATATGTGACTCCTTTATCAAACTGAAGATTTTAATTAAAAAACAGTTATTGCCCTAAGAAAACTTTCCTGCTTGTGATCGGTTCTGCCCTGAATTAGCAGTTTTCCTTAGCCTCACACATTTATTTTCTCTAAGGGCTGACATCTAGAAAAACATGAGGCAAGAATAACGCACTATAACACTGGTATATTACAATTTACCTATACAGTCATGCAAGCCACAGATCATTTTTTAAAAGCATCAGAAAAGTTAGTTAAATTGGTTTAAATATTTACCTCTGATCCTGTGAGAGAGAAGACTTAAATCTTGTTCCTGGTCAGGTTCTGCATTTGTGTGTTAAGCAATGAATACATTTAGAAATATAGTACTGCTTGCACCTCCCTTTCCTTCTCCCCTATGTCCAGGTTGTTTCCACCTCCCCAAAGATCCTTTCTATCAAATCCCCGAAAGATCTTATGTAATTTTGTGCTCCTTGTTGACCTTGTCACTTTTCATTTTTAGACATTTCAAAAGGACAATGGAATTAAAATCTCAGCTCTACTGTTACACCACAGTAGTCTAGTGACAGAATAGCAGAACAGTTCACCCATTCCAATGGTCTTCTGGTGCTGTGGGGACAACTGCTCTGTTGTTTAAAATAAATGACTAGTAAAAAGGTTACATGACTAGAATGCTTGTTTTTGGTTTCTGGATATAAGGAGATACTGTAGGCCTGATTCTCCTCTCTGGCTTTGTGCAACGGTGACTTCTGGGTTTCAAATGTGGTACATCAGCATAAAATGTCAAGCTTAGTGATTGAATTAGACACTGGGAGTCCAGCTTCAGATTGAAGATCATTAGGAGCACAGACAGGTGCAAAGCCGTGAAGGACCATTCGGGGTAAGGGACAGATACCCTACTGGTTGTGTTGATGAAGAAATCTCATTGCAACAATGGCTGGGAATCACTTGAGAGAAACTCTGCAAAACACTGAGTTAGTGCACAGTACTTGCATATAGTGAAGGAGGCCAAGGACTGAAACAACTCTACTGGGAGGGCTGGAGCAAGGATGGAGTGAAAAAATACAACGGGGCAAACATGGCACAGTAGTTGTCACTCTGCAGTCCCAGAAGAGAGCTGGGCTGCTGTTGGGTGGTGGAAGAAGGAGAAGGTGGTGTCAACAACTGTAAGACCCTGGGGGACAGGGGAAAGGGAATGGAGGAAGGGAAGGAAATGGTGCTGTGTGCTAAGCATTGTGCTGCAAGCCTGATTACAGGAACAGAGTGGGTCAAGTCTTCTAAAAAGTGGCAGAAATCGATGTTGTGCAAGGCAATGAAGAAATGCCAGAAATTAAACAAGTGTTGGTTGTAGTACAATGAGTATGTCCTCAAGAAATCAGGAGAAAGGTCAGCTGAATGGTTAGGTGGTAAGAAAGCCCAAGCCATGAGACTCCAAGTCCCAAAGAAGTATGCTGAGAGTGAGCAAGCTAGCTCCCTTCGCTAGTAGATGCAAGGATGCCTGGCAGGATGAGAAAGGGAGGTGGCAAGGCAGAATGACTCTTCACAAGAGAGAGAAAATCACACATGTTAATTGAAAGGGACATCCAGGTGTCAGCCTCCTGCTTGGAGCGGAGTGACGATGGAGATTCCCCAAATTTTATGGGCAACCTTCACCAATGCTGTGCTGCTCACCCTGGGGAAAAACTCACCCTTCAAGTGTTGTGGCCGTTGCCTCTTGGTAATGATCTGGCACTGCCAAGAGAACATTAACTCTGTCATATCTGCAATCATGCTTACAGTATTTGAAGGAGAGATAAAAGGTGACTCACATTTCCATTGATTGTAAAGGCCTGTGGGTGAGTTTGGGTGCATGTTGTCATGGTTTTGTTCCTCCTTGGCCTCCCAGGCATGGCTTTCCTGTATTCCTGAGGCATATTAGGAAGTGCTTGAGGCTTGGCCGTGGGCACATGAAGCCCTTGCATTAGGTGAAGCAGGGCATGGCAGAATTAAACCTGAATGCACAGGGATCCTGTGTCATGTTTCACAGCTGAGACAGAGAGAATGCAGTGCTATTGAGGTTGTAGGACAGATAGAATAAAGCACTTGCTTCACAACAATTTTCCTATTCTCCTTCCTATTTGGGAAGCAGAGCCAGACCCTGGAAGCAGCTGGCCACATGGAAGAAAACAGAAAGAACTCAGTAACAGCCTTCCCTGTCAGGAAGAGGGAGTCCTGCCATCCCAAGAAGAGGTGTTTCTAGTAAGATGCTGTTGATGTGTGCAAGTCCTGTAAGACAGGAGTAAATATCTGGGAGATTTGTAATCTTCCAGAAAGCATTTAGGGAGTTACTATTACAGGCTTGATTCTCCAGTTTGATCTTGCCTCAAACCAGTGAAATAAGTGGCAAAGCAAAATGAGAGTAATGCAGTGCAGTGCAGTGCTGGGCTGGCAACAGTGTTGGTCATAGAAAGGTTACAAAGGTTGGTTAACAGAAAAGTTACAAAGGAGAAGATTTCAAGGCAAATGTGTTTTTCTTCCAATTCTGTAGTGTTGTTCAGTATTTTCCAAGTGCTGTGGGACAGAAGTTAGAAAGGACATGTGTCAGCCCCTTTGCATGCAAGGAAAAATCAAGAACCAGTATCAGGAACACAGAGGGTTTTGCAGGTTTATTTCATTGCCAGCTGTGTCAGGCTGCAAAGTTGTTATAAAACTGACAAGAATGTGGGTGAGGTAGCCCTCTTGGGATGACCAACGTAGTGAGCTGAAACCAAGGGAGATGCAGCAGCATTCTGCCGGAAGGGTTTTTTCCTTTCTTTTCATTTTAGGTACCAAAGCAACTGTATTGGGAATTACTGTTTTAGATCAACTTAGTCTGTTCTGCATTGTTGCAGTTCTGGTTCAGAAAGCACTGAAAAGACACGTCAATGTTGTTCTGTGCACAGTTTGATGCTTATAGTGTAGTGCTATTATTTTCAGGTTCCTTGGCCAGGAAAATGCACAAGAGGCTTGAATTCCAGGTTATTTTTAATATGTGCTCTTTTCTAACATTGAGAGATTTGTCAACAATATAGGAAAATTTAGAAGTGCACAGACTATTGAGATGCTCTTTGTGGTGTGTATTTTGTTCATTATCGTTGCAAGAGCCTGTTCAGTAATGGTCAAGTTTCTAAGGGGAAGAGAACCTTCCCAAGAAGAGGATACTCTTGGTTTTGTTGTGCCTGATAAAGAAGAGGAAAGGGTGATCTGCCACAAAAATAACAGTAGCACCAAGACTTCTTGATGCCAGTGCTGCTGAGCTGGCAGCTGCTGCCTCTGTGCCTTCTTCATTGACTTCCAGATAACACTTATGAAAAACTTGTGACAAAAACAGATCACCGTTCTCTGACATTCCTGTGAAATCAGCTTGACCTTCAGTGAAGGCATCTTGTATCCCCATCCTGCTCAAAGTAGATTTGAGGTCATATTTCTCTTCTAATGTGAACCTGGGCAGATAAACCTCCATTTTCATTTTCTCCATTAGTTCTGGGCTGGTCCATGCAGACAAGTTTTCAGAAGTCATTTCTCTTTCTAGCTGCAGTTAGTAAAAACAGAATCAGAAAATTACAGACTGTTCAAAAATCTGTGCCCTAAGGGATATTTCTTCTCTTTCCTTAAATGGAGAACTTTTCAAGCTGTTGTAAGAGAAAAACAAAACAAAACAAAACACCAGTAGTGAAAGACCAATTTGGAGCTTTTTTTGACTAAAGAAGTATGTTTCTCTGCAGTAGGTCAATGAAGTATTTGAACAACTCTCAGTAATTGTCAAGGAATATAGCAGGGTTAAATAGCTGTAGAACAGAAACATCAGTGTCAAGTAACAGTAGTCTGGTTGATTTGCTGTTCACATTTCTGTCTTCCCTACATTTTAAAATTTACTGAAAAGAACTTTTTTTTCTACAGAACACCCACTAATGTAAATAAGAATTTAGTAGGAGTTTATTATCCAAAGGCAGGATTGGTCTCTTTACAGAAGGTGGCAGTGTCCATATGTACTATCTCTGGACATCCTGGAAAGCAATGGAGGTTGTTCAATTTGTGGAGGGGTTTTTTTGGAATGAAATCATATCTGTCTGAACTGGTACAGACAGTGAATCTCAGCAGGGCTGGCTTTCTGTCCTCGTTTTTGTTCAGGTGGAAGAGCCTGTCTTGTGGGGGTTGGGTTTCCAACCATCTATTTCCAAGATTGATCAACATTAGGAACCACACAAGTGCCAGCTGCCAAGAGTAAGAAATCTAGTCTGAGCTCCAGGAGATTCACGTTCACAGTGCTAGACCAAGGATTTGCTTTTCCTTGAGCCTGATCAGCACCCTCCTTCCTAGAAACATGACTGCAACCTGGTCTTTTACCTCGCACATGCACAAAGTAAGTAAATATTTACAGTCTTGTTTTTTCACATGATTTATGTTCTCAGTTGCTTTACCTTTTGTAGGCCGGTGATGTCACTTGGTAGGAGGATAAACATGCTGAGGTCATTATTGACATATGGAAGCTCAAGAACGTCAATCTGAACTGATTCTATGTAGGTCCAGTTAAATTTGTCACTCAGGTACATCATTGGCACTGGTTTAGTCGTATGCTGCAACAAATCAAATTAGAGGTTTGCCATTTGAACTCTGACTGAATGATAAAATAGCACAGTGGAAGTTTATTGTATTTACTGTACAAGCTGCCCAGTGTGTCTGAGACATTCTTATGGCTTTAAGTGGTAGGACACAGGATTTACAGAGGACCTCTGGTCTTCTGGAAGGGCAGTAGGAGGGTAGGCAGGCTATCTAAGCTGTCTCAGATGACACCTATTATAGGAAGCTGTATTCCACTCTGATTTGTCATATGGTTAAAAATGAAAATGTAAAGAACTAACTCATACAGTTTTGTTCACCTCTGTTTTCCCTGCCTTCAGAGAATGGAAGCTTGCTTCAAGTCAGCTTCTGACAGTAGGGTCAGGTGCTAGTATGTGTGTGCAGTCTTTGTGCTGAAGATGTGGTGAAGAAAATATACTGTGTGCTTTAAGTGGAATAACTTTCATGCTGTGTGGATTTAAAGATTGACAGGAATTTCTCTCCCCTGTCTTTTTCACTCCTAGGATATAGTGCAGTGTATTGCCATACCGTGTTTATTCTGAAAGGCCTTTGCCTGGTAGCTTCAGCTTCAAACTTTGTTGCCCAGTTTCCTTTGAAGTAGAGCGCATTTATCAGGACTAGTCTGGTGAGCGAATCTACGGATCCAGGAGGCAGCAGATTTTGGATTTTACCTAGAGAAAACATAAGAACATTTACACATTTGTTCAGTTTTACTGTTTCGGAGTAAGTGTTGTCATGATTTCTGCGGTTATAAGCCAGGGTGCTGATATAGCATGCTTCTAACTTGAGATTATTAGCAAATATGTGGTTACTGGGGTAACCTTGATTTACAAAGAAGAGTAAGACACATTCCTCGCATGTTCAGATGGAGGGCACTAATTTTAGTAAGGGCTTGTCAGTGGATGACTACTTTAGGAAAACTGATTTACCTTTCTGAGATGAATTGTTTACCTGCCTTGGACTCCTTTTTCACTGCCAGAATGGCTTCTTTTTGAATTGGGAGAGGAGAGGCAGGAGCTTACCTTCAGTCTGATGTTCGACCCTGGAATTGATCTCTCTTCTGATTTCATCTGCTGCTCCCACAAAGTCAACTGATTGTGGCTCTGCGTTATAGTATTTCTTGGCTAACTCTAAGTATTCCTGCAGTGCAAGAGAGACAGCTGTTTTATGTTTGTGGCCTGCCAATATCAATGCTAATAAATAAATACAGCCAAATAGAAAGAAAACATGATAAAAATTATATAGCCTACAAGCACAGCATTTTGTCAAAGGAACAAAGTATTTTTTAGTGGAAATGCTCAATTCAAATATTTGCACCTAACCACATCTGCACATCACCCTGAAATTAGATACACATCACAGAAAACTAAAATTTCAGTGTCCAAAGTCTCAGGACGAGTCTCATAGAAAATATTTATGTTAAGGATAACAACATGATTTGCAGATATAATGAAAATATTTAAAAGCATATAGTTTATGATATGTTGTCATAGATAGATCATAAAGGTTAAATGGTACTGCATAATCTGAATAAATGGCCTACTAACCTTACTGAAAGGCAATGTTTTTTCTCCGTATAACTGGTTGACACTTTTAAGCAGGTAGTTTTTAGTGGGTTGGTTGATTTCAAAGTTGAGTGCTTTAAACCCAGTATGGATATTATCCGATTTGCCAACTTCTGTCTTGGAGAAAAGGAAAAAAAAGTTACTCATCTGTTGTGTAAAATTGTTCAAAATTGCTAATTTCTTCCTTCATGCAGCTCCATGTAAAATCTTTCTATTGAGGTGATCTGTTACCTGTATTGCAACACAAAAGGTGTTCTAAACAGGACAGCTATTAAAAGAATCGTTTGAAAGTATTAAAAGTTGTAGACATGGTATAGACACTGTAAGTGTCTCAGAATGCCAGCAGTAAGAGCTTGAACTATTTAAGGGTTTCTAAGTGGAGGATGTGAAATTAAGTATATCCAGAGAGTGAGAGACAGAATGTAATTGTTACACAATACATGAAGATTTGGCTGTGTGACTCCATTTATGAAAGTTGAGTGTGTTACATGGAAATTTTGCCCCTAGATTTCTTAATCTTGCTCTTAATGTTAATATTCTATCTTAATTTTGTTTTTATGTTGCAGTAAATTCTTTATATTGAGTAACAGGATTAATAAATGTGGGCTCAAACTCTCAAATGAGCTCAAGGAATTTAAACTGTGAATTAGTAAACTAAAAATCTGTGCTGTATTCATCTTGTCATTACCTCAGAATCGGAGGCATGAATACACACTTAAATTTCTAAACTGTTAGAACGGTCCATTTGCCCTACCCACAGCGCTCTGTAATTCTTACAATTCAGACAAGCATTACTCATGAGGAACAATCCCTCTCCTGTTCATGCAGTGCAAATGAGTTGTTGACGTAGCCCCTAAAATAAATCTTCCCAGCATGGGATTTGGCTGTGGAATGCAGATCCAAGATCCCATTCATCAGAACTCGCAGCCGCTGGGGCTTTGCGGACAGACTGCAGGGAAATGGCTCACTCCCACAAAGAAAACAGATTATGAGAAAGAGCAGGGAGAAGAGCTTGACACCACTATGGTTGAACTGTCAATGAGGAAAAACTGGCTTTACTGACTCAGAGGGATTACGTTTCCATATTTTTTTGCTATCTTAAATTATGTATACTTTGATACAAGATGCCTGCCAGTCTGTCACAGAAATATCTCATCAGTATAATGATTTTAATTTCACTTAAGAGTTAACTGCAAGCAACTAGTCTAACTTGGCAAATTCCAACATGCCAATTTATTTTGTTAACTGTTCAACTGAAATGGAGACTAATTTCTGAAGAAGGCTACCTACCAAACATAGGTAGCCTGGAAAAGTTAATACTCTGTTTTTTGTTGTCTTGATGCTGCAATCAAATGTGTGGGAGGGCAGCTCTGTTCTTGTGATTAGCTCTTTGAGGTAGGAACCATGCCAGTTCAAAGAACATGCTGTTGCTAAATATCTAGCTATTGAACAGTAATAACTTGAGAAAGAAATCTCTCCTCAAAGCTAAAGAAAAAAAATCAAGAGATCTATTGACAGAGAATGGTGACATTAAATTTTAAATTTTGCAAATTTGAGGTTAGTTTTTGCAATTCTGCCTAAAAAGGGGAAGCATGTAGTAAGTATTGCATTAGGTGAAGGTGTCACAGGATGCTGTACCAATTAATTGTGTACCTCTAAGGAAGGCAAACATAGGCAAATGCAAATATGGAAGGAAAATACAAGCAAGAGAAGATGTGACCGTGACCATGCCCATAGCTTGATCACTAGACTCGATGAGATACCTTCTGGAAACAAGCACATCGATTTGATAGACGGTCTTCCGTTCTGGAATAGACTTGCATCTTTATGGTTGTGGTAATGTTTCTGACTCCTTCAGCTTTGTTAAAGTGAAGTACCTGTAGGGGAAAAAACAGTACTAAATGCAATGATAGAAAATTTGCTGTTTAATTAAGATCTTTCACTGATGTCATGGGACTGGTGATGAAGAGTATCAAACTCATTTTATTCTTGTGTCCAGTCCTGAATGAATATGAAATCTTTGCTTAGGTCTTGAGGCCCACATGTACAAAGTGGCTTGCACACACTAAGCTGAGGGCTGCAGGGCAAAACTCTCATGTACCTGGCCTTTCTAGAGGAATCTGCCTACTTTGGGTTATGCCCTGGGCTGACCAGTTAATACCTGGGAAAAGCCAATTATGTCCAGATGGAGACTACCAAAGCAGAAGTCTAAATGGAGTGCTGCCATGTGTCAGAAAGCATGAAAATGGTGTGGGCAGTTTCATGCCTTAAATCCCTTGCTCTGCACCTTTCCCAGACTACAAAGGGATGCATCTAACCTTGGAACATTTTTCAGAAGAGCTATGCCTTTTTTTTTGTTTTCCCTTCTTCCTAACAGAAGATTATTCCTTTCTTTGTTACCCTGCTGGCCCTCTTTTGTCCTGTATATCAGGAGTTAGATCACTGCCTTACCAGGTGGGACAACTTCTGCCTTAAGCAGAATACTCAGCTCCTACGATAGGAGCTAGGTAACTGTGCATTGGGGCTGTCCTTGTGGTCTCCTGCT